TCAGCTCCGTCTTCCAACCGGAACGGACCGGATGGGGGGAGGGGGGGGGATAAGATGTCGCAAGCTCTAATAGCTTTGTCAAAAAATGTCAACGAGTGGGGACTTCTCTTGTCTTTTCCCTTTGGCTGAGCATACGCGCGTTGTGTATCATTCTGAAGCTGTGGCTTGAGTGTCAGCGTCGGACAGAGTTCTGGCTTTGCAGGTTGGCTGGTGCCATGTGTTTTTGGAGATGGGAGGATGCGCGGATCATTGACTGCCTCTGCAGGGATATCTGAAGTCAGAGCCCCACAGGAAGTTGGGAAGCCAAGACTTCACCCCACCTTGATATATAGTGTTTTAATACATAATACTGCTCCTCGGCATGATGAAATCAAATATGCTTATAAGCATGATCAAGTGGCATTGATCGACTGTACTGAGTAAGATACGGGTAGTCTGAGCTTCAATACCTTCCTTCAGGCAAGTTCCTTAAAAAGGTAGGACGGCAGCAGATGCCAAAGGGAAAAGGATGAACTGACAAGCCACCAAGCGAAGAAGAAACGGCACATGAGCATAGATACCTTACAAACCATCCTAACATGGAGGCCGCTCATTCTTCCTGTGTCAAGCCAGGATCTCGTCCCTAATACCAAAAGAAGAAAAAAAGGCTTTGCCTGACAGGAACAAGGGGAGAAAACAACCCATGATGGTCTCCAATTTCAATTTCCCCCGCATAACAAACCACCAAAAATCAACCAACCCATCTCCCCCCCGAACGATCTCCCGCGGGCAATTTAAAGCGGAAGCGATCAGCAATGCGCCATAAATAACTTTCTTTCGCATATGGAGTACTATTACTACCTACACAACCGGCTCACAGCTCCCGAGCGAACGAGCCAACGAACCAACGGATGATCGTTCCGGGAGATCTCCTTTTTGGCTCTCGAGAGTTTTTGCATCTACCCTCAATCTAAACTCCCGCGCCGATACCACCGTGGAGACACCCCTTGGCGCTCAGTCCTTCTAGAATCTCTCCTTTAATCGATGGCGATCTAGCTCGAGGGAGTTCTCGTATGGATCCATAGAGGGCGACCATCAGTTTCAGTGAAATCATAAGTCTCGCAGAACTGGTGATCATCAAATAGTGTATGTATGCGGTGGAAGACCATGTAGTATTATCCAACACATCTATGCCCCAGTATGTTCGCTTACTCCCGTGCAAGCCTAACCAAACGACTATCCAAAATGAAACTATGGTATCATTACTCATTAGAGTCATTATTAACAATAAGCAAAACCCTCCGGTGCGCCGCCCGAGCTGGTCTTGTCTTGCTCAGCTCGGGGCATCAAAGGAGTGTCCGTGTGTTCTGAGGGGTATCCCGTTCCCGATCAAGTCTAATCCGTTCGTTGCCGTTTTCCCCTGCGCCCAATTAGAAAGAAGGAGCGTGTTGCAGAGCGGCCATGTGAAGTAAAGCAAAATTTCCAACGCCTGCCCGATGATGATGATGATGATGATGATGTTGATCCAAAAGGTCTGAGGACAATTAATCTCTCAAAAGAAGTCCCGCTCACGCGACGGCAACGGCGGCAACAATGGAGTCGAGTGCTGAGCTGTGAGTCGGCCCGGAAACGCCTTGCGCGGGGCCCGACCAGACGACACCCATCTTGCCAGCAGAGTCGCGGTTGGCGCTCCAGTTGCTGTCGGCGTTTTTGGTGATGAAGGTCTTGAAGTCGTTGTTGGGCGCCGCTTCTTGCAGGTATCGCAGGTTGCGAACAAAGATGCCCTTGAACTGGTTGCCGTCGGAGCCGCAGTTGGGCTCGCACGTGTCGTGCAGGATGCCGTTGTCGTCGGCCAGCTGCTTGATGGCCGCCTTGGCAATGTTGGTGGCGTCTGTCAGGACCGACTTGTCGCCATTAGCCTTGCTGAGCTCGACGAGACCGCCGAGAACGACACCTTGGTTGTAAGACCACACGTTGGCGCCGTTGTTCTTGCAGTTGCCGTCCAAGCCGTCGTTGATGGTGCCCTGAGCGTTGATCATGCCGGTGGCCTTGAACCAGGTCCACTGATCAGTCGCGATCTTGAGGTAGCTGGCCTTATCGCCCGAGATGCGGTTGGCCAGCGAGGCAGCGACGCTGAGGTAGAGCTCGTTGGCGATGGCGTTGACGTACTTGCGGTCCTTGCTCCAGTAGATGCCGCCATTGCAGTTGGTATTGCCGCCGGTCTTCATATCGGCAAAGATGCGCACGGCCATGTCGAGGTAGTCTTGGTTCTGGGTAACATCGTAGGCGCGGATCAGGCCGAGCGCCCACCAGCCTTCGTCGTCATAAAACTCGTTGATGAAGTTGGGAAAGCCCTGAGCGCTCATTTGACGACCTTCGATAGGCAGCGGTACCTCGCGCTTGGTGATGGCGTACGAGGTTGTGACAAGGCCAGCGGCATTGATAGACTTGGAAGCTGATGCTGTGGCCTTCTGAGCCTGCTGGAATGTGTTCATGAGAATGCCTCCGATGTTAAGCTCGTTAGCAGCATCCCGGTTCAGGTTGGCGAAGTCGGCGAGGGTGGTGAAGGCGTTGGCACTGTTCCACCAGGCGTTGTCCCAAAGACCAGAGCCAACATCGTACCAGGTAGATTCGAGAGTGCGAATGGCGGCAACGGCGTTATTGGTGTATGAGGCGACGTCTGCTCTCTGGGCAATAGGACGAGTAGACATGAGAAAGACTGCCCGGGCTGCGAGCCCTCCAACGTTGGCGACCATGTTGACGATTATTAAGTATAAGGAGTTGAGTAAGGAGGCGGAACAGTTCGTCTGGTCTTCTTCTCTGTTCGAGGTAGAGAAGTGAGGGGAGTAGTGGAGGAGGATATATGTATTAGTTGCAATGGCGAGGGCAAGGAGAGGCCACTTTCGGTAGAGGAGGGCCGGGATGTTAAATATATCAGGAGCGGGTGAGGATTCCGGTCCATGTGCCCCTTGTCCAGGTTTCCTCCGAACTGGTGGACCGGCACAACAGTAATGGAAGTGGTGGGAGGAAGGCGGGTACGGACAAGGCGATGAGGAGGGACGGTAATGCTGACCCTGGACGGCAATCTTGGTAGCAGGGCTCTGAGAAAGTGGAAATCTGGGGCGGAAGTGGCAGCAACAGGAATGGAAGCATGAAGATGATGGGTTGGAAGAAGCGGAGATGTCGTCAAGGTCAAGATCAGCGTCGAGGTGGGATGACGAGGAAGAGGAAGGAAAGGATACATGTAAGCAGGAGCTGGCGCAGGCGCGGCTTTTGCCAACGTCCTGATCCTGCGATGACAGCGCCATGATCCTTTTTGCGTGTGTCTTTACTCGCAGCCTGGAAACAAGCACAAAACAAAACGAGGCTTCATCTGATGTTGTGATCAGGAGCTGCCTTCTCGTCGAGCCAGCACATCGCACGCGGCTGCGCCCTGACAGGGGCCACCCGGCAAAGAAGTACGAAGATCACAGTCAGGGGTCAGACTGTGGTGGCCAGATGGTGTATCTGGGAAGAGAAGGAGGAAGAACCAAGGAGCGTGGGATGAGATGATGACCAGAGAGGCAAAGCGCGAAGAGTCGCAAGTACCAAGTAGCCGTACTCAGTAGCAAGAGGCAAAGGGCAAAAGAGCAAACTCGGAGTACAGATAGCAAAAGGGGCAAGACAAGACAAGGGCGTTTGAACAGCGGTTCCTTGGAGAGCGAGCGGGTCGGTAAGCGCTGTCGTTCATTGGGAGAGATTCGAACGGGACGAGGGTCTACCGCCAGATCGGAGACTCTTTGAGAGTCTTGGTCGCTTGGGAGTCGTTGGAGTCTTTGGGGATGGGGAGCTTGAGAGCTGAACGTGTAAAGGTGACTGGCGGTAGATGGTGTTTCAGACAAGATTGTACGTTATGCTGTGTTGGCGGGCGGCGCGAGACCGCACCAACTGGATCTGCGGTACAAGGTACTTTGTGAGGTCCCTACCTAGTGGTGGTTTGTCCCATCCAGGCTTGAGGTACGTACTGCACCGGACCGCTTATCGGGCGATAAGGCACTTGTGACGAACCTTGAACCCGAACCCATCGAGCCAGCGCCTGAGCTGTGAGCAGTGAGACTGTGAGACTGTCACACTCACAGCGGCGCCAAGTTCCAACGCCCAGGAACCAGAGATCGGTATCCGGGCCTTCCATTAGCCACGGGTGCTATGACCAGGGGCTTAAAGGGTGTTGCAAGCCCCATGTCCCCCTTCAGTCTTGGGTCACTTGGCTGGGACATCTGGGACTGGCCCCCGGGCAGGAGGGGATCCCCTGGCATCTGCAGCCCCTAATTGGGAAAATCTGCACATCGCGCACCGCCACGTGCGGGTCTTTCCTTAGTTTCCTCCTCCATTCCTCCTTCGTCTGGTCCTCCAGAGATACCTGAAGCTTCTGGTGTAAGAGGGGGACGTATCTTTTCTTTCCTTCTCTTCCGTACACATCCTTTTGCGTCTTTCCCCTACGATAATGGTACACCTTGCTCTCCACCCTCATAGAGTAGTACTCCGATATGCAACGGGCAGCTCAATCTGGCTAGGAACGCCTAGGACAGCTACGAAATCCCAAAGGATGCTGATCCGCGAATATCAGAGGCATCTAATCCAGCATGGTCAGGGTAACATCCACAGAGACCTCTCATGATGAGGTTGCACGTTACACTTGACCACCAACAAGCTCCGACTGCTGTGATTCATTCCCATGATCCAGACTCGCATTCTAGATCTGCGCTTTGTTGTCATGTCTGTTCACTCACTCCGAGTCAGAGTCACCCTTTCAGTCATTGCACAGCATCGCAGCCTCGGGATCAATTCGTTCGCCTCATGGATGCATCATCACCACATCGTTCACCCAGAGCTATTGCTCCGCTGACGTAGCCGAGCAGGAGGGATCATCAAGCTTGTGGACGATGAATGGGCTCCAGACTCAGATGACAGTCCGATTCAGACCGACTATTGACAAAAGTCCGCGAACCTTGTCTTCCCATGCGCATGACTGCGGCGTGCAGTCAAATATTGGCAAGATCATGTTCACAGAGTACGGCTCGTCGTCCAAGACTGACCAAGAACCATCCAAGAACTCCAGGCCCTGACGCCGAGGTCTCCAATTCGTCGCTTGACAGCTTATTTCCCACGGCAGCGGCGCAGAGGCTGATCTTCAATGCGGTGGAGCGCCATGGAAGATTCTTTACCAAGTATCCGTACCTTCCTTCTCCTGAGTGTCGACTGGCGAGACGGGGAACCAGGGCTCGCTTTGTTTCGAGGAGCTCAACAAGATTACCTCGACATGCAGAACACCAGAGAAATGCCAGCAAAGGCACCAGAGCCATCAGTGCCACCCTGGTCCCGGGGGGTGGCTGACGACCCAAGCTGACAGCGGGGATGGAGGGGCATTTTACGCATTCCCACTGCCGGGGACCACCTCGCACCACGAGCTGGCCCGCAACCTGCAGGTGGGAGCCGATGTCGAACCTGGAGCTTTGGATGACAACAGTCATGATGGTTTTTGGCATCAAAACAACCTCTTTTCTTCTCTTTGCGACAACAAAGCTCTCGTCTTTCGAATCAGCATGCTCGACGTGGCAGGGTCGCAGTACTGGCGGCCAAGTGACCCTGTGCAGAACAAGAGCAATGCTACGATGAGGAAAGATCACGAATCAGCCTCAATGGAGCCGTGACCGTGCTCAATGTTCTGGCGATCACTTTGGTTTCGGCATTCGAACATGAGAGGTCACACCGACATTCAGGGCGGCCCGGAGTCTGCGGCCCAAAGGTGCGTCTGTTGGATGGGTTGAAGCCAACCAACTATCATCCTTCAAGCAAAAAAAGTGCTGCCTAACTTAGGTTCTCACCGTAGGCAGCGATGACAAGACGGTGATACCGCTGTTGTTGATACTGTTCTCGTCATCTGCCCAAAGTTCTTTGGGTGAGGGATTTCGCGGGCAGGAATTCGATAATCAGAAGAATGATCTTTGGTCAGAGACAGCATATGCAACATTACGCCCCATCAGCCTTGCTCAGCGCAGCCCGACGATCATTCACTCATTCTGGAGAACCTAAAAGCTACCAGGTATAGGCACAGCATCGCTCCAAAGTCCCTTCAAGATAGCTGCGTGCAGATGGGCAGCCCTACCGACCGTCATATTGGGCGTACAGACTACAGCTTCTTCCCAGCCCGGCGATCTTTTGCCAGCGAAGGCCTAGTACGCCCGCTTCTTCTGCCGCCCAACCTTGAATTTGATGCATACCGAGCACCAGCTCGCCGTTGCACGGCATACAATTAGCCTTGGCCGCGGCACTTACGTCGCGAAATCCTACGATTTGCCTAGCGCAGCCTGCCGTCTGCACTTACATGCAGATTTGGGGGCGGGGCCGGGTGGGCAGTGTTAGTGTCGGCTATATGGGGACTTTGGCAATTGTGTGGCCGGGTTACGCCCAGCCAAGACAAAAACCAAACAGCTACCTCACGCAGTACGCTGTTCAGAGCATCAGATTCAGCTATTGGAAAAGATTCGGCAAAGGCGGCGTTTGACGGAACTCTTTGGTTCCGCAGGCTTCTGTATTTCTCGGAGTATCATCCCTTTCACGGACGACGAGTCGGTTATCGGAATGCGACGTTTCCCAGGCCCTCTACGGAAGCTCATCCGGCCGAGAAACTAATTACCATGCCCAGATATTGGTGCGACTTGAACACGAGCGCAACCCTCTGAGGCCGGTCTAACGTAGCTCTCCCGCGATTCAAGAAACGCCGCGAGTTCCAAATCGCCCTTGGAGCACGAACCCGACTACTTGGATTGGTTTGAGACTTTGTCCTCCTCCTTTTACATTGGGTAAACATTGATCTTCTCATTCATGAACATGCATCACCACTTGGCATAAGGTATTTCAACCACACTCATTTCAAAGATACACTGAACAGCCAGTGTCAAAAAGGTAGAGAGAAACATCATTGAGCGAGGTTCAACAGCTTTAACCCTGATTTTTGGGTCGCACATAGCACGCGAGAGTACCCCGTACTCCGTACGTCAATCGACAAAACTCCATCTCTTCGTACAGAATTTCCACTTCTATGCGACGCCCACGGTATGAACCAAATCGCAGGTCCAAACACGCCCCTGCCTCCTACTCCTGGGCCGGGGAAAGTAAACCACCACCACCATTTTCACAATCTCTAGTTTCTACTCACCTTGGGGGGTTCTTACGCGTACTCGTGGCTGCTTGCGGTCCGGGCCTTATCGCAAAACACGACGCTCCCACCTTTTTCTTGACAGTCAACAGTGTCTTGAAACGAACCGTTTTACATCCGACCGCACGGCGGGGCCAAACGCCAAACCTGCGTTCAATTCTTTTTTGTCGTCCCTTCTCCGAATCAGACTCAGCCTCTTTTTTTAAAACTCTTGCTCTTGCTTGCGTTCGTTCAATGATTCTTAACTGGTCTGGTCAGGACCCGGCTCTTCGGCACAGAGTCAAAGCTTCCATTTTATACTTTTCGTCCTCCAAAACCGGACAGGAAAGGAATGGAGGAGGGGGGGGGGGATACCCAAAAAAGAGAGAGACGGTTGTCTGATGATTAAATGTTAAACTTTATTGATATCGTTAATCTCGCCTCGCTTATTGCATCTACTGAAATGCCCATCCCGTATTCAAACCTCAAGCGATGGGATTTACTTGATCTCCAATCGCAGCGCATCATATTGGACGTAAATAGCAGGCGTAAGCACGGCGCTCTCGTAATTCGTCGCGCCGTACGGCAAGCTCAGGACAATCTCGTTCTCGCCCGCCTTCAACAGCTTCGAGTCAAAGACAAACTTGTTGGCGACGTTGTAACACACCACCGCCGACCGCACCGCGCACGAGCTGCTCTGGTAATACGGAATCACCCACGGCTCCAGGTCTTTCCCGTTGACGTTGACGGTGTACTTCAAGTTGGCGTGCGGCTCGCTCGCGTTGTACACATCCGTGTTGCCCGCCGCCGTCTTGGCGCCCGCGAGCTGCACCGTGAAGGTGCCGTAGCGCTTCTGCTTCACGGCCGCCTCGTCGAGGTCGAAGACGAGGGTCCAGTTGTTGACGTTGCCGTCGCCGAGGTAGAGGTCCGGGCGGAGGGAGTTTCCTTTGCCGCCGAACGCCGCCCAGTGCACGTAGTTGAGGTCCTGCGCGACGTCGTCCTCGCCGACGCGGAAGCGGATGCCGTCCGGGAACTCGGTGGGGAAGTCGTAGCGCGCCCAGTAGATGCGGTATTCCTCCGGCGTGCGGGGTTTCGTGGTGTCGCGCGCGAAGCCGTGGCGGTATTCGCCCGAGGACTTGTCTGGCGTGCCGATGCGGAAGATCTCCGTGCCGGATGTCTCCTCGCGCCAGCGCGCGTGGGTGGTGTCGATTTTGCCGGCGACGATTTTCACGTCGTCCTTGATGTATTGGCCAAAGATGCCGTCGCCGTAGATTGTGAGGCGGTAGGTCCCCTCTTTTACGCGGGGGATCGTGGCGTAGCCTTGGGCGTCGATGTCGGTCCAGTATTGGTAGGCTTTTGTGTCGAAGACGTTGTCCTGGAAGTCGACGCCGTTCTGCGCCAGCACGGCGATGGGTTTCGTCACGCCCTCGGGGAGATCGACGTGCAGCTTCCAGGTGGTGCGCTGCGTGGAGGGGACGTAGTTGGGTACGAGGTGGGCAATGTCGTCGTAAAAGTCCGCGTTCCACGTCGGGTCGGCGAGCTTGGCGGCGTCGGCGTGGAGGTCGAGGATGGAGGTGCCCGCGGGGCCCTTGTTGAAGTGGTAGTACTGCGGACCAAAGGTGCGGTCGAAGCCGTTTGTGATATTGGGCGTCTGGTCGCCGTGGTGGTTGGACGAGATGTAGTTGTAGACGATGCCGTCGACCGTCAGGTCCGAATGCAGGGGGCCGCCGAAGTAAGTGTCGCGGGTGTTGAAGACCATCCAGGCGCCGAACGCGGAGCCGTCGGCCGTCTTGGAGCCGTCGGCGAACATGCCGTAGGCGTCGACGTCGCGCCAGGTGTCTTGAAAGGTGTATTTCGTGAACCAGTCGGCTTCCTCCTGGACGTAGGGGTCTTGGGGCGTGTTGCCTAGGTACCACGTCGCGTCCTGGACGACGACCTGCTGCGCGACGGCGTCCTTTGACGGGAGGGGCGCGTACTGCGTCGGGTTGGTGAGGAGGTGCGTCCACATGGGATCGTTGGGGCGGAACAGAGTCCTCAGCTCCTGGAGGTTTCGCAAGAAGGGTGCCGTCTCGTTGTGGTAGGCGACGCGGCTGAACATGTGCAGGCCCGTCTCGCCATCGCGGAGGAACCAGTACTGCTCGAGGACCTGGCCCGTCGAGGCGTAGGTGTCTGACATCTTGACGCCGCCGTAGGCGACACCGGCGGAGTCGGTGCCGGAGTAGAGTTGAAACGTGGGCTTCACGGTGCCGGGCGTCCAGAAGCCTTGCGGGGTGCAGTAGCAGTCTAGGTACGGCCCTTGGCCGGTCGCGCCGGAGGCGGTGCCGAGGAGGTTTACACCGTCGAGGGTGAGTTCTACGACGGCACCGCCTGGCTTGGAGACGGCGGCGTAGAGGCGGTCGTTAGCGATGATGAGGCGGTTGGAGGTCTCTGTCGCGTTGAGGGCTGCTCTTGCCCCGGTCGCGAGGGTGAGGGCTGCGCCTAGGGCGGCGCCGCGGAGGGAGGAGACGCGCATCTTGTAGTCGTTTGGAAGTCTCACGAGGTTTGTGGACACGGTAGAGACGCTCGTTTGACGACCAGAGGAAATACGGGGACCGGCGAGAGGTTTTCGTTCGACTTGATGCTCTCGTCGGAACTTCTACTCTTCGCTTGCCTAACCAGCAAAAAGAGGCAAAGGACTGTCCGGCATGGAGACGAGACTGCTTCCTTTTATGACCGCAGGCTATTCTCCCGAGGCACCCCGTTCATAACGGGGCCGGCCCTGCTGGGCGTGTCGTTGGTGTGGAGGAAGGAGGATCTCGGGCATCTCATCTCCGGAATTTGTTTATTTCTCTTGGGGGAGGGAGAATACAACCCCATGACCCCCCAGCGACATATTTAGGCTGGCGGGCCCTCCCCGCAGGTCGCAGGGTTAGGTTGGGATGTATCCATCCATATCCGAACGAGGGGGGCTACGGATCGTCGGATAGATACGCAGAGATTGCCAGATAGCGAAGCTGGGTAGGTACGTCAGCAAGACAGAGGCCGAGAGAGAGATGCGGGGAAGGCCGTCCGTCCTTTGTTTGGCGTACCTGAGAGAAATAAACGCAATGGAAACGTAGAATGCATGATGAGCTTTTTTGACATGCGAGGACGACCATGTCTGCGTGGAGAAATTGAGGTCCGGACTGGCGGGCGAATGACATGGCCCAATTCTTTTCAAAAGTCTGGGGTAGGTAATTTACCTTTGTGTCGTTGGGACCTTCTCCGCACGTCGCCCAACTTTTCCCCCAGACCACCCGCAAAAAGCCCACCCACCTCCTCCGCCGATCTCCGCCTTGACTTCGGTGCCCTCTT